TCCCTGACTTGGGAGGCAAAGCCACCTCACCCGATTATTGGAGGAGCCAGATGTGAAAGGGAGGCTGTGACCCCTGCTGCCCTGGGACATTAACGGTGTAGGAATCTCCATGGTGAGGGCCTGGTGGAGGCCAGACAGCCTTCTGGGCTCCTGGTTCCAGCCACAAGGGCTCACTGTGCTTGACGGTGACGGTTATCAGCAGTCATGGGTTCCTGTGTAAGGCCAGCAAGGCACCACTTCATCAGCAGCTTCTTTTAAGGCTGGGAATTTCTGACAAAACACACATGAAAGACATCTGTTTTCCTTGTTTCCCCTTCAAAGTAGTGAAAATGGTGATTGTCTTTGAGCAAGGAGAAAAGGAAAAGTTGCGGTGAACTTTGTGTTTTGAGAGCCTGGTCGTGTTTCTGGATCCACTGGCTTTGCTCTTGTCATATTTATTCCTTTCAGGTTGATTTTTCTTCTCTCTCTCTTTAATCAGCAAGTGTGTGAGGCAATTTCAGCTCAGTGCTGCTCTAGTCTGGGCATCTTCTGTGATCTACAGGGCCACCTTATCCTGGACATCTCTTAGATGCTGGCCACCTCCGTGTTCCCCCACCTCCAGTCCTCTCCCAGATTTTTTTGTCCCTTCTTCCTATGTGATGAAGAAACCAGTCTTACATGTCACAGACCTTCCCCTCATTGCAGAAGGGGAGGTCCTCTTGCTCTGACAGTATGTGCATTGCAGAGGCAGGTGAACTGTGCCCATCAAGGTGCCTGCTCTGTGTGAGACCCCCCTGGCTATACCCAAGGAAAATGTGCATGGTACCCGACTCCTGTGATACTCAGACATTGGTAATGCTATACAAAAGTCATCCATCCCCTATTTCAATAAACCCTCTATTTAAATAGATAGGTAACTTTTCTTCCTCATTCCTCCCTACCTTCCTAATTCTTGCCTCTGGGACATTCTCTGGTGTCTAGGTTGTGCCATTTTGTCTAACAGCCATCTTCATGATGCCTTGTGACTGAATAGCAGCCACTTGGCAGTCCACTTTCGCCCAGAGTGACAAAAACTTCTCTGACTGAAGAAGTTTCCTTTCTAAATGGAAACTAACGAGACATTACAACTAAATGCAACATGTGACCCTAGGCTGCACTCCGGACCAGATAAAGGACATTAATGAAATAAATGTCAAAATTTGCATAAGGTCTGAGCGTTAGATAATGTGTACTAATGTTAATTTCCTGATTTTGATCACCGTGCTGGGGGCTTATACAAGAGAAGATCATGCTGGTGTTCAGAGATAAAGAGGCAACATGTCTGCAGCTTTCGTGTGCATGCCCGTGTGTCTGTGTGGTGCACGTGCATGAGGGTATGTGTATATGTGTTTGTACATGCACAGGGAGAAAGGGGAGGAGTGGTGAAAAAAAAAGGTAGTAAATTATTAACATTTGAATAAAATGTTTGAAAGAAAGATATAGAAGTACTTGTACCATTTCCCCTACATTTATGTCAGTCTTCAGTTATTTCAAAATAAAAAGTTAAAAAGAATACCTTGATGGGTTGGAAGAGTAACCAGGAGGCCATGACAAAGAAGAGTTTTCTGAACTTGGAGACTTCTGGACCTCTTGAGTCTGTTCCAAACTCAAGTCCTGTTGGGTTTCACAAGAGCCCACAATCTACTTTCCTTTCAAGCCAGACTCCCCGAAACTCCCCTTCCTGGACTGAGCAGACAATGCCTTTCTGTCTGGACTGAACTCAGGTCTGTCTTCTTCCTGGCTCTCATGCTTCATAGCCTGTGTGGAAGGCTGTGCTCCTCTCTGACATCTCACTGGCGTCCATGTTTTCTCCTTCCTGGAAGCAGCCGGGTCTGTCTAGTGCAACATGGGGCGGTAAGGACACGTGGTAGGCTACGCTGTAGTAACTAATGCCCTGGGGTGAGCTTACTTAACTCACAGAGGATGGAAACTTACAAGTTGATTTCTTACTCATGCGACATGTGCACTCTGGCATGACATGGTGTCTTGGGATGACTGGCTGATGGTGGCTCCATCCTTTCTCTTGCTTTCACAGTCACCAGAGGGGGTATGGTGAGTTATTCACTGGCTTTTTAAAGTCCCACCCCCCCCCCAAAAAAAAGACTATGTGCTCTCATTTCATTTACTGTGAAGTGCAGTACTTCTGAGGAAGAGAGGTAAAAATATATTTGTGACATCCCTGAAGATTGTCACAGCACTGTTCACAGTTAAACTGGCTTTAAGTTAAATTAAGGAGAGCAGTTTATGAGGCACTAGAAGCCAAGTGCTGACTGCCATAGAGGGGAGTTGGAACACACTTGGCCCAGAGTCACCCAGCACATCCTCCTCCAGGAGACTCCCCGAGCACCTTTGTGACCCTGCTGTCAACTGCACAGGCTCTGCCCTCCTGCCCTTGCATTCCTTGGCTGTGGTTTTCTGTCTGTTAGATACACTTCCTATGTACCACAGACACACATCAACAGAAGCCACAGGCACTGTGCTAGGTTTTAGCAGAGGGTGGGAGAGACCATCTGATTCTGTTTGGAGGAGACAGGGTGGTTACACAAAGCAGGGAGATGGGGGACAGTGCTGCTGCTTCAGGCAACAATGTCTGTTCTCTCTGGCCAACAGTTGGTGGCAGAGTTAGATGTCAAGGCTTATGGACTGTTGATATGTTTTATTTTTCTGGCAAAAGAAGTATGAGAGCTTGGGCATGGTGACATATGCCTAAACCCCAGTTATTGGGAAATGTGCTCTCATTTCATTTACTGTGAAGTGCAGTACTTCTGAGGAAGAGAGGTAAAAATATATTTGTGACATCCCTGAAGATTGTCACAGCACTGTTCACAGTTAAACTGGCTTTAAGTTAAATTAAGGAGAGCAGTTTATGAGGCACTAGAAGCAAGTGCTGACTGCCACTAGAGGCGGAGTTGGAACCACACTTGGCCCAGAGTCACCCAGCACATCCTCCTCCAGGAGACTCCCCGAGCACCTTTGTGACCCTGCTGTCAACTGCACAGGCTCTGCCCTCCTGCCCTTGCATTCCTTGGCTGTGGTTTTCTGTCTGTTAGATACACTTCCTATGTACCACAGACACACATCAACAGAAGCCACAGGCACTGTGCTAGGTTCTTAGCAGAGGGTGGGAAGAGACCATCTGATTCTGTTTGGAGGAGACAGGGTGGTTACACAAAGCAGGGAGATGGGGGACAGTGCTGCTGCTTCAGGCAACATGTCTGTTCTCTCTGGCCAACAGTGGTGGGCAGAGTTAGATGTCAAGGCTTATGGACTGTTGATATGTTTTATTTCTGCAAAAGAAGTATGAGAGGCTGGGCATGGTGACATATGCCTATAACCCCAGTTATTGGGAAGCAGAGGTAGGAAGACTGTGGTCCAAGGTTGCCCTGGGAAAAAGTGTAAGACCCTATCTGAAAAACAAACTTAAACCAACAGTGCTGGGGCTATGGCTCAAGGGCCTGCCTAGCAAGTGTGAGGTCCTGAGTTCAAACCCCAGTACCACCAAAAAGTACATATATTCATGAGGCAGCTGCGACAATATTAAGGCTAATTGTACTTCCATGTTTGTAATATTCCATAGTTTATAGTTCACGTTCTCTGAAAATCACTGACTCATTTTATAAATGAGGACTCTGAGGTGGGTAACTTGTCAGGCTCCTTACATCTCCCAACTCAGCTCCCTGATTCCTGGTCCAGAGCACTTCCCACCAACCAGCCTGTCTACCTTGTTTGGGGTCCTGTCTGCCTGAGCACCCCACAGTCTCAGGGAAGAGCTCCCTCACTTCTGTGATAGGTCTGAGGAAAGTCCCGTTGATAGAATCACAGCCGTTGGCTTCACCCCGAGTCCCCTGAACCTGTAAGAGCCGCCTCCCCTGGCTGATGGATAAGGTGAACAATGAAGAGAAAAGCAACTTTTGCAGAGGGTGCCGTGGACACTTGCGGGCTCCCAGGTGATATTTCTTGAGCTCCCAGCTGCGTGATGTAATTACAGTGAGGCGGGAAGGTGGGTCCTGTCTCAGCAGGATTCGCTTCTCTGTTGCGGCCTGTGGCCAAGGAAGGGATGCTGAGGCTGTGGTGCCAACTCATGGAAATGTGGATGCAGCCAACCTGAACACTGTCATTGTCTAAGATTTGGAAAGAGTTCTGGTCTATGCTTCCGTTGACTAAGTGAAATAGTAGAGCAAGAGCCCTTGGCACATAAGTGGCCAGTGAATGGTATCTGCTGTAGGAGTAATAATTACAGTAGTAATGACCTTTACAATTACCATAGTAATACAGCAATAGCATCAGAGGGAGGGTGGGAGGGAGGGAAAGAGGTAGTAATATACGTTGTACCAATCAGTGGTGTTTGAGGAGTGCAATGGGTATAGATCACCCAATGGGAAAGAATTTTGTCAGTAACACATGATAATAAGCAGGATTTATGGGAACTCTGTACTTTCTGCACAATTTTGTTGTGAACTTAAAATGGTTCTAGAGAGTAAAGTCAATTACTTTTTTTAAATGAAGAGAAAAATATCAATACCAACTATCAGCAGACTGATAGTGTGTTGTTTTTTGATTCCAAAGTCAATGCACACCCTTATTGCTTGCTCCCAGGGTGGCCCCACTTCCACCACCACCCTGATACTCGTAACGGTTATTTATAAATTGTTGATGATGTAGACGCTGGAACAAGTGGGATGTTACTGAGGACATCGAGCGTGGTGGCTGGGTGGACAGCGCATGGTTTCTCTGTCCACAACTGGTGGTGTGACACCAGGTGCTGCTGGACTGAAGCTGCAGGTCTTGGGCTCTGTGAAGTGCTGTTCCCTGGGCTGTGCAGCCATGTCACTTCTACTCGAGTTGGCAGCAGCTGAGTGACATGGCTGGGCACATCCCTGCATGTGGTGGTCCTTACCCCACAAACCAGTCCTGTCCCCAAACCACCAAGTGGTTGGTTTCTTTTCCTTCAGCTACTGAAAGGTTCTCTGTCTTTTGAATAGGAAAATGCCCAGGTAATCAGAGAAGTGGAAGTGGACAAGGTGTCAGCACTCTCTAGGGACCAGGTGGAGGCCATCAAGCAGCTCTGGCAGGATCCGGGAATCCAGGAGTGTTATGACAGAAGGAGAGAGTACCAGCTGTCGGACTCTGCCAAGTAGTGAGTACCGAGCCTGAGCCTTGAGCCCTGCCAAGGCTGCCCACGGTGCTTTCAGGCAAACTTGGCAGCTTCAGAGAAGCTCCTCGCTGCCTGCTAAGATGGGCTAAACTGTGTGTGTGTGTGGGGTCTCCCTCTGCTTTGCTGCCTCTCCCTTAATTCTTGATATTGTCTCCTGTCTCAATCCTGTGTGGATCAAAGTCTAACTTTGGGCTGGTACACACTTTTCCTCAGTGTTTCAGTGAGAGGCCCAATTAAATTGGGAAGTTCCCTTAGTGAAACTGATCTCATTTGGGGTTCTGAAATTGTGATTTAAACAAGAAATATACCTACCTCTAGTTTTCTCCTTCCTCCTATCCATATCCCTCTGCCTTTCTGGCTGCCTGTTCAGAAGACAGCAGGTTCTAGCGCCCTAATCAGGTTAGACCAGCTGCTGATCTCATACTTCCCTCTAGTGGCGGAGACATGGATCTGCAGGCCCAACACCCAGGAAGCTCAGCTAACTTGTTTATTGATCCCTGTCAAAGCCTATTACTCTTTTACTCTATCTACAGCTCTACTAAGCTGTAGTTTTAAACCATTAATCCCTGATGGTAAAAGGGCTCCTCCCATTTATATGCATGAAAACTGCCCCATAGAGTTCACAGAAAATTCCTTAAGAACTTTCCAAGGCAGTGTGTCCAGCTGGATGGAGATAGTTCCTTCCTTCTTGAAGAACTGATGATTCCTGCTTCTGCAGTCCAGCTCCTTCTCCCTTCCCCAAGACTGACCTATTTCCTTTATGTGCTGCCATGGTCCTCTGCACTTGGGTGGCAGTTTATCCCACCCTCTGGACAAGGCAGAGGGCAGGAAAAGGAATGTTAGTTACTTCCTGTGATTTCATTGGCTTCCCTTTGGCATTTGATTCAGGCCTAGTGTTCAATATCATTAATCCAGATCGGCACAATCAGTCTCATACAGGAGCAAAAAAGCATCTAGGCAGGAAAAGAAAAGAACCCCTAATAAGGTGTTGGACTCACATAGAGAAGAGAGAGTGTTCCAAGGAGGTGCAACTGTTTTGAGCAGCCTGAGAGCCAAGGCCAGGTCAAAGTCAAAAACAGCCAGAGCCCTCCTATTCCTCTCTGAGACTACCTGGTATTTCTGGCTTTGTGAAGGTCCTCCCTCTGGCCTCCTTTTTTTGCAAGACCCCTGGTGTAGATTCATTTGGAAAAGACCCACCAGAACTGTTGAACTCAATGTAACCCTGAGAAATGAGGCAAGTCCATTGAGAGGGATGTGGTAAGTGGCTAGGGTGGTGGACAGAGCTGGCATGGAAAAAATGGGACTCATGCTTGTATTGCCAGCTACTTGGGAGGTGGATATCAGGAGGATCTCAGTTCAAAACCAGCCTGGGCAAAATGTTAGCAAGATCCCATCTAAACCAATAGCTGGGCACGATGGTCCATGCCTAAAATCCCAGCTATACAGGAAACAGAAATAGAAGGATCAAGGTCCAGGTCAGCTCAGGCACAAATGCTAGCAAAAAGGGCTAGAGATATGGCTCAAGTGGTAGAGCACCTGCCTAGCAAGAGTGAGGCCCTCACTTCAAACCCCAGTACCACAAAAAAAGTGCTCATAAACGCAGACAGTGCCCAATCTTTAGAATCTGCAGAATACAAGATACTTGGGCATTTCCTTGGTCTAGGTTAGTGGTTCTCAGCCATCTGCAGTGATGTCTGCTTATTTGGGTATGCATTCATGTCACCAAAATGTGAATGCTTGTAATGTTCCAGTAGTGTGGTAAGGGCTGCAGGGCAACCAATGCCCTCCACTCTCAAGAACCACACAGTTTGCTGCTGTGAATCAAATATCACACACAGAGCTGGGCACCGAGCTCCTTGGGAGGCAGAGATCAGGAGGATTGTGGTTTGAAGCCAGCCCAGGCAAAAAGTTCATGAAACCTTATCTCTAAATAGCAAACACAAAACAGGGTTGGTGAAGTGGTCAAGTGGTAGAGCGCCTGCCTAACAAGTGTGAGGCCCTAAGTTCAAACCCCAGTACCATGGAAAAAAAATCACAAATAGAAATATACAGTCCCCCCCTCTATATGTTCCAAGACCCCCAGTGGATGCCTGAGAACACAGTACCAAGTCATATATATATTATGTGTTTTTCTACACATATATACCTATGATAAAGTTTAACTTATAAATTAGGCACAAAATAGATTAACAACACTAATTTATTATTAGTAGTAATAAAATAGGATAATTATTAGGGCCATTATTAAGTAAAACGAGTTACTCAGACACAGGCACTGTGATACCATGACAGTAAATCTGATAAATGAGACCACTCCTGAGTGACTGACTAATAGGCAGGTAGTGTATACAGCATGGATACACTGGAAAAAGGGTGAGCTATGGCCACGGTAGGACAGTCTCAGACTGTTATCATGCTACTCAGAAATGACACACAGTTAAAACTTACCCATTGTTTTCTTTAGCTCTGTAAAATAAAAACTAAAAAAATAACTTATGAATTGTTTATTTCTGGTATTTTCCATTTAATACTTTTGACCATGAATGACCGTGAATAACTGAAACTGTGTATAGTGAATCCTTGGATAAGGGAGATCTTTTGTACAGTGAAGCAATAGCCCTGGGCATGGGTGTAGGTGCAGGAGCTGCCCACAGACCTGGCTTCTTGAACTGGAGGCTGTAAGGTGAATGGGATTTGTTTCTTACCCCTTGGTTCACCTTCAAGTTGACTACTCAGTCCTTGGTGTCCAGGCTGTACTAGAGAAGGCAGGGCCACCCTCAGTGTCAAGGGGCTCAGAGTCACCAACTCTACTGTTGGCCAGGACCTGACTTAGTTATTTTGCTAAAAAATGCCTTTTAATGAACACTTTAAAGAAGTGTTCTCTCATTTCATTACAGAAAAAGTGATGTGTTTGAAACTCAGAGCTTTACTAGAGAGCCACAAGACAAATTTTGGATTATCTTAGATGTTTCATTTCCCAGTGTCTTTAACAGTAAAACTTTTACTTGCTGTTATTTTGAAAGAATTTCTCCTTGGCTTGTTTTACATCTGTACATTTTCTTAGAAACTCCACATAATTTATTGCACAGATGCTTCAGAGTACAGTGTCTAGGTTACATGATGTTCTTGGATGAGGGTAAGTGGGAGTATGCTCTGGGTGGGATGTCACGGCCATTTCCAGCCTCCCAAGCCCCCAGCCCTGCCTTCCTCACAGCCACACAGACATGATGGAGCTGAGAGTCCAGGAGGAAGGCACAAGTGACCTGCAGATTTCCCAGCAGGCTCATGGAAGCATGTCTCATTCCTGGTCACTTGGACACTTGAAGAGGAGAGGCCAGCCAGAGTTAGCTCAGAACGTTATTGAGGGCATCTGTGTGCCCGTGGAGACACTGTGGGTTGGGGTGACTTTCCTTGAGTAGGGTGAACATTCTCCCTTCTGTAAAAGAAGTCTGAGCTTCTCATTCTTTAATGTCACAGTTACCTGACTGACATTGATCGGATCGCCATGCCATCATTTGTGCCAACGCAGCAAGATGTGCTCCGTGTCCGAGTGCCCACCACTGGCATCATTGAGTATCCGTTTGACTTAGAAAACATCATCTTTCGGTAAGTCTCTCTCAGCCATGGTCCGTTAAGAGTTTCCCCAGTCTTTAAAGTCCCTAGATGGAGTCTTCCATGTGCTATTCCTGTACAGGCATTTTTATATCCTTTAGGACAGAATGACCCTCTCTGTTACAGGGCATTTAGAATTGTGCAGGGCTTACTCCTAGAATGGAGAGGGACTCCCCTTCTATTGCCCTTGGGGAAGAAGCTTTCTTTCCAGGAATTGTGATCATTCTTATGCTCACACACATATAACTTGTGTGACATGTAACTTGTGTGACACGCACATTGAACATACGGAACGAATGATATCTTTACCTTAATGTCGAATAATTTTTCTCTTTTCCTCTATTTTCTTCTCCAAGATGTATCCTTAAGCTAAGAACAGAAAAATATATATTAAATTTACATAATATATGCGAACTACATATAGTTGTGTGAAATGTATGAATTTCCACTGACAGAAATACTTTTAGGATGACTTGAGTAGATCCTCATTATACTCTATTATGGGAAAAGTAAATAATAATAGGGCTGGAGGTGTGGCTGAAGCAGTAGAGCAACTCCTGGTAAGTGGGAGGACTTGAATTCAACCCCCATGAAAAAAAAAAAAACCCAGAACAATATGGGGCATGTACATAGCACTGCAAATTTCAAAGCACTTTTATATCCATTGTTTCCCTCGTTCCTCCCACAATTACTATTGCACGTACTTTTCTAGTTGAGAAAAGTCCTTCCACACCCAGGTCCTGCGTCACCCACAATTATATCTCATCACTTCTTCAGAATTGCTGTGTTGATGGTGGGGTGGCTCAAAAGATACTCTGCATCTTCAGTTAGCAGATCCCTGATTTTAATGGTAGCCCCCATATTTGTGGGGCATAAATTTAAACCTTTTCGGAATCTAGTGCTGCTCATAGCTTCTCCCATGGCTTACATTTGTTTTGTTTACAAGACTTGTAGTTTTTCTAAGTTCATCCTCCTCGGGCTTTGATAAGTGGGTTTTATATTACTTTCCAAAGGCCAATCATTGAGTTTCACATCATCCACCAGCAACATCTCCTTAGTTACAGCTTGTAGTGCCTCACCCCGCCCCCACCCCGTGGGATCTTTCTCGCTGGAGCATCCTGGTCTTTGAAATGGAGGCCTTTTTTGAAAGGGTTCTTCAAGCCCAGACCTCTAAATAGCTGGTTTCTCTTCCCAGCTCCATTCACTGCTGCAAGGTGGGACAGAAATGAACATGTCATTGCAAGAATGCCTGCACCTTCAGGGCCTGGTTCAAGGGCAGGCCTGCCTTTTTGGTTTTGTTCCCAGACCCTTTCTGGATACCAGGCATGGGTTGGGCCTGTGGATCACCTCGCCGCACTGGTTCAGTGCCCTTAGGGATTGGTGTGTGGAAGAGGTGAGGCAGAATTGCAAGGGCTGTGATTTGGCAACTTGTGGGCTATACTGAAGCCACAGGTATAGCCTTTTCAGGGTTATGAAAAACTCTTGAGCCAATATTTAAAAACTGAGATGCTTCATTCAAAACACTTGATACCTGGTTTTGCCTAAAATGTCTGAGGATGTGTTAATAGCAAGCCTGCCTTCTGCCCAAAGGTGGGCTGTGGTGATGTGGGATCTCCAGCAATGCAGCTTTTCTACTTTGGAGGGGCCCACTTGACTCATACTATACCTGGGGCATTCACATCAGCAATCCCTTGGCTGTGGGTCCTGAAATTGTTCCCAAAGACACAGATAAAGGCTTTGAGTTTCTGTATTGGGTAGAGAGCATTTGCAGGTCTTTATAGGTAAGAAGGGTTGCACTCAGTTAATGCAGAAAGGATCTGTGGGTAAGTTAGAGGGACTATGAAACCAAGAATGGACCCAGGGCCTGAAGAAAGCTGAGGGGACCTAGAAGACTGCTTGCCTTCCTGTCCCTTTTGTATCTGGTTCTTTGGCTGGTTGGAGCAAAACCCAAGTGGGTATTTTCTCCCTGGACTATTGAAACATCTTCTTACCCAGGTGGGCCCCACCTGAGTCACTTGCATCTGTCTTCAGAAACTTCATTTGCATTCTGTGCTTCCTTTGCTAGGAATCATTCAGTGGTCCCTTACTGCATTGAGGCAGTGCTCAAACATGTTCAACTTAGAACCTCTCTTCACTCTGTAACGATCGGTGAGGAACCCAAGAGCACTGACTGCATGGTATAATGGCTCACGTCCTTCACCTCGGGGTTACACATTCCAACTCTTTGTAATCTGTGTTGAGCAGGATGGTGGATGTTGGTGGCCAGCGATCTGAGCGACGGAAGTGGATTCACTGTTTTGAGAGTGTCACCTCCATCATTTTCTTGGTTGCTCTGAGTGAATATGACCAGGTCCTGGCTGAGTGTGACAATGAGGTATGCTTGGTGGGGAGGTTAGGTAGAAATGTTAGAAATGCAAACTCCAGGCCCATTAAATCAGAGCCTGCATTTTAACAAGGTCCGGGCAATCCAAGTACAGTCACACATCACTTAAACACAAGGATGCATTCTGAGAAATGCAGTGTTAGGTGATTTTTGTCATTCTGTGACCATCAGACTACAGCTGCTAATCTTCTCTTTTTGTTACTGTATTGAATATTGTAGCAATTGCAATATAGTGCCTAAACAAAACATATTAAACATTAAAAGTGTACAGCTCCATTACCTTCTACGGGACCGCTATCATATATGTGGTTTGTTATTCACCCAGTGGCTGACAGTCATGTGGTACGAGACTGTATGTATGAACGAGGTCATCGTTGAATCTCAAACTTAGTCGAACACTGGGATTTCCTGAGGAATGTAATGAAAAACCCAGAGCTGGGTCCAGTCTTAGAGATTCAAACTTAATTGTTGATGGTGGGTGTGGCCCGAGAGGGGGATTTTTACAAAAGCTCCCCAGGTGAATCTAATGTGCTGTGGAGGGTAGAAACCACTGAGAAACAGAACTTCTCATCTGGCATTCTGCAACCCCCCTGGGAAGCTTTTTAGAAAACACTGCTGTTTAGACACTGCACTAGTTATATTTACTGGGTTTAGGTGTGAGGGGGATTTAGGATTCTAATGCACAGATTTGAGCAAAACTAATTCAATAAACTTTATCTGAGCAGACTGCCCAACCTTCATAGGACATGGTGCTCCCAAATTAGCTCTCTAGTAGAATAGGCAGAGACCGTAGTGCCAGATGTGTGGAGTGGTCCCTTCACTCTCTGATCCAGCTAAGTCAGGCACTCAGTGTCCCCTGCAGAGCCATGGCTGACATGGCTGGGTCCAGTTCCATTAGCTGGATCTGTGTGACAACAAAAAGGACTGCTCAGTTATTTCTTTGTGAAATTGGGGTATTTCCTGTGGGATGCCATGAATTTCTCCCTCCTGAACTTGCCAGGGGGCTCCTAAACCTTTTAGAAAAATGTCTGTTTCCAGGACATGAAGTGAATCAATGAAGAGCTCTGTCCAGGATTAGGCCATAACTATGCACAAATCATGTCTGTGTTTCTGAAGAGCAGACTTTTTCTTGAGGAGTGCTGCCACATTAGCTAGTGGAGGATTAACTCATTTACTTGTATTATTGTGCAAAGAACAGCACAGAACAGCTGGGATGTTGCTCAGCTCTCTCAAGGGGGAATTATTTTTAAAAAACAGATATCCAGTTATCAATATAAACAATTAGCTCCAAATTTATCTCAGGAATTACTTGTGGTGTTTCTCAGGAAAGTTAAAAAATTAGGTGCACAAGAGACTAGTAATTCAGTCCCATGAGCTTAGAAAGGAAGCATTTTCTCCTCTCCTAGAAAAATCACAACATATTTGGAGAAAAGTGGTTGCCATTCCAGACTTTTCCTTCCTGGTTGTAGATAGGTATTGTACCCACTCACTGTGCCGTATAGGAAATTTTTTCATACATTGTATTTCCCTGGAGATCATTAATAAGATCATAATATATTTTAAAGAAGTTTTAGACAGGTGTGGGGTTATCTTTATGGTAATACGTTTGGACCCTAATCCCATCAGATGCACCAAGTGGGAGGAGCCCTGGGGTCTGGGAGTCATTCTTAGGAAGTGGGATTTATGGCACATCCCTCTGGAGCACGTGTTGAGCTCTGATGTTTGTCAGTCTGTCTGCTTCCCCCTTCTTAAAAACACTTTGGAGAGAGAACGCTATTGACAGCAGCTATTATCACTAGATATGAACTCTATGTGCACTGACTGTTCTCCATAAGGTGGGGCATTTAATATTTTCTTGCCAGTATCTTTACTGCTACTGTCTTTGTGCATAATTGTTAGGAGATCCCACTATCACGTGGGCTTTGACCATAGTATGCTTGTCTATTGAATGTAGACATTGTCCTACTTGTGAAGTGTGCACAGGGTGGAGGCTGGGCAGCATTACTTCCCTTCTTGGGCAGCGTGTAGCATTCCTAAGGGCCCTAAGAGGGTTGGCCTTGCTGGATGGGAGTGTCTTCATTCCTCATCTCACAAATCCTGAGGCACAGTCTGGAAGCCACACCCAGTTGAAGTGACCATCTCAGATCTGAAGCTGGCTCTTGCCCATCTGGTAATTCCAATAATTGCATGACGCAGAAAACTTGTCAAATGTGGACACGAACTTTCCTGCTCCAAGCTGCACAGAAGCCTTTCTGATTCCTGTATGTTAGTTTTGGGCTAGAGAAGTTGGGGTACCCAGGATGGGGGAAGAGTCACAAAGAGGAAACAGAAGCAGGAAGGTCTGGTGCCCTATGGGCCACATGCTCATCAACTTCAGCAAGAGCAGTGACCCAGCCAGGAGTGAGGACCCATGGATGCATTAGCTGTTTAGCTTGTTGTTCCTCAAATACCACTGTTTTTAGTTTATCCCAAGTCCCTTGTTTCTCACTTAGAATCGTATGGAAGAGAGCAAAGCCTTGTTTAAAACCATCATCACCTACCCCTGGTTTTTAAACTCATCTGTGATTTTATTCTTAAACAAGAAGGACCTTTTGGAAGAGAAAATCATGTACTCTCATCTAATTAGCTACTTCCCAGAATACACAGGTAAGTGTTCGCCTTGGGAGCAATGCTTCCATGTTGACCTTGTCCGCTTCCCCAGCATCAGTTTCCAGTCCTCAGCATGGCTGGTGGGGACCTTCCTGCTCAGCCCAGAACACTGGGCTCTCACCACTCCCACCTTAGAATCAAAGCTGTCATTGCACTTGTGGGAGTTTACCTCACCACTGACGAATGGGGCCTCTCCCAGTGCCTGGAACACATTTGTTAGTTTCTTTCGTTGACTGCTTTGGCTCGCCAGGTCTCAGCTCAGCACTCCCCCAACCCAGGAAGTACTTTTTGACTCTCCCATACCTGTTGGACCTGCACTGGTATGCCACCGTTTTCTTGCTGCTTTGGCACCCTGCCTCCTCTTGCTCTCTCAGTTGTCATGCTGTGTCACCTATCTTCTCTGTCACCGAGTTCTCTCCCCAGTTAGCTCCTCGAAGGCAGACTGTGCCCCATTTATTTGCCCTCCTAATGCCAGCCAGAGCACTTGGGTTTGAGGGCAGCATCTGCTTTGTGGACACCCAAGTTATTTTAAGGAAGGAGACTTTCTTGTCCTATTGCCAATTAAGCCTGATACCGGTCTCATATTACTAAGTTTGACAATGATATTTAGAGGGTCAATGTGTCAGCACTTTTTTTCTTTTATTAGTCACCTTGGTTATACGATTTAGAACTCTTAAAACCAACCTAATGTGTTGGTTCCACATTCTTCCTATCCTCCCACAGCTGTATGTCTTTCTCTCCTGAGCCCAGAGATGTCTGTCTAAGATTATTAAGTGTTACTTCTCTTCAAAGGTGGTTCAAATCAGAAAATTAAACTGGGCCATTATTTTTAAACAAATTACCTTACAATTTTTAGATACCAGTGGAAACTTTAAATACTATTTTATGGGTTCATAAATAGTTTACTTCAGGTAAACTATTCCCTCAGATACTTTGAGGTAAATAATTCTTGTCCTAAATAAGAACAAGAATACATTAAACATGGTTCTTGGGCAGGGCATGGTGGCACACACCTATAATTCCAGCTACTTGGGAGATGGAAACTGGAAGGATCATGGTTCAAGGCTATCCTGGGCAAAAAGTTAGTGAGACCCTATCCCAACCAACAAACCAGGCATGGTGGTTCATGCTGTGCTCCCAGCTATACAGGAGGCCAAAGGTAGGGGGATTGCAGCTCCGGCTGGCCCTGGGTGAAATGTGAGACCCTATCTGAAAAAGGACCAAAACCACAAAGGCTGGGGGAGTGGTTCAAGTGGTAAAGCACCTACCTAGCAACTTGGTGTGGGGGGGGCCCTGAGTACTAACCAAAAAAAAAAAGAAAAAAGTTTCTTGGGAGGACATGGTAGTGAGTCTTGTCTGTCTTTATTCCTCTACTTGCAATCATGATCAGGACCAAAGCAGGATGTCAAAGCTGCCAGAGACTTTATCCTGAAGCTTTATCAAGACCAGAATCCTGACAAAGAGAAAGTCATCTATTCCCACTTCACATGTGCTACAGATACAGAGAATATCCGTTTTGTGTTTGCTGCTGTCAAAGACACAATTCTACAACTAAACCTAAGGGAATTCAACTTAGTGTGAAAGCCACTGCCCTCTGCTCCTGCAACAGAAGACACCATTTCCAAGCGCTTCAGACCCCAGCTGAGCCAGGCACTTAGGACATGATGCACACCACGGGGCATGATGGGACATATGAATTTACAAAACCTTTGAGTCTTTGTTCCTCCGTTGTTTTTCTAGTTCTTTTCTTGTATCTTTGCTATAAGGTTTTATGTAAATTTTGAATTTGGTATTTTATAGAACTTTAAAAGTAAAGTAAGTATCTCTTGTGTTTAAGATTGATAGCCATTAAAAGTCATGTAACAGAGGGGCTTGTTAATTTATAGATCATACTTTTGGAACTCTGATTAATTAGGGTGACTTTTCTTTAAAGTTGTGAAATCAATTTAATGCTTTTTATTTAATTTCCATTGTTTTTCCTCTCTTAATGCTGAAGTATGAACCTTGAATATGCTACCAAAGATTTTTTTTTTAAAGTTTTTTTGTGTCAACTTTCTTAGCCAAATTAATGAATATATCTATGTATCTAGTTGTTATTTTGCCACAATTGGGTTCCTATGAAGCCAAAGCTGAGATATGGTAAATGGCTCTAGATAGCTTATATATTGCATTGTTGGTAAGCTGTGTATACATGTATATATATATATATGGTCAGGCCTTGTGAACTTATGAAGTGGCTTAAAGTGCAAATTGTTAAACAAATATTATGCAACTCCTGCCAAAGTTGAGATGGTCACCACAGACCTGCTGTTTGAACTCTGTATGCTGTGCTTTTGTGAGGAGGTTAAGAATACACCATCATCTTTCACTAGCACGGATTATGTTGTGTTTCTTAGAGCTCATGGCTGACAGTTCAGCTTCTGAAGAGGAAAATATTACAGGTTTTATAGTAGTGCAGCTTTCCTAAGTTTATCCCCTTTGAAATAAGTCTGTATTTAGCATGTTATGCTGGAGTTCCTCAGTAGCTTACTCAGCAAAATTAGATGTAGAATCCTCTGTACAGTATAGAGTGCTTCAAACTAAAAAAAGCCCAGGATTTTGTTTCTGCTTTGTGTTTGAGGGCATACACTTGAGCACCTCACCTAGGGCTCTAAGGTGTGATCGGTTTAATCACTCTCCAGCCGGTCTCCCACTTTAGGTTCAGCTTTATGAAGGCAAAAAAGTGACACACATTCAATGGAAATTGTACTTTGAATTTTGATCCTTTCTCATGCTAACAATTTGTGGTGTTATACTCTTGAGATGATAGCAGCAAGCCACAGCTCCCAGTCAGCCAGGTGATCACATAGGGGAACAATTCAGACTCCACAGCCCACTGTGTTGCTAAGCTAGGATGTTCCATGTGTTTGGTGTGCTCAATGCATTTTCAGCCTACCATGGGGTTTACTGAAAGCTGATTAGTGTCTGTGCAGAATGTATTCAAATCAGTTACATATGTTATGGAACTGTGTTCGGCATTCTTGTAACTGTTCTATACCGTCCTTTCAGTAGGTTCCCATTCTGTTGTAACAATTTTAAGTGTGAAGTGTTGAAGAAAAGCATTAATGCTGGAAAAGGCTGAAACTGACAGTAGCAACATTAATCCTTAAAAAGTTATCTCAACTCAAGACATGAAGAACTGGGCAAATGGATGTTAAAATTTGTCTGAAACAGTAAAGGTATAAGAATAGCCAGAACCATTTTCCATAAGAGACCAAAGAGATGGGGATTAGCTCTTCAAGATACTTACTGAGAAAGAAAAAGAAAAACATCACTCCTTACCCTTCTTTCCCACACACTAGGGACTAACAGTCTCATCAGCCAATTAACATGAAAAGGACTCAAAAGAATCACAATCAAGGAAATTAAACAATGTGGGGTTTTGTTTTCTATTCCAAACATTTTGTAGCACTGTTATTGTTAACTTTGGCTGATGCTTAAAGCACACAAGAAAATGATGGCTTTCAATCACTAGTTGCAGGAGGGCTGTCATTCAAAGGATGGTAACAAAGGATGTCCTTAAGACATGGAAAGGCTGAACTCTCCACATCAGAGGTAATAGCCTCTGCCAATATCGATTCTCCTCAGGAAATACCACCCTAGCCCATCTTTCAAAATATACTCCTTGCTTACTGAGAAAATGAGATGATTGAGAGTTGAGAGTACTGAGGTTGAGAGTCACAGTGTTGGCTGGTTGGCTAAGAGGTCACGAAGAATCACTCAAGCTTTTAGGCAGCAGTGATCCTGCTGGGCTGGAAAGCTGCTCACTTTGGCTGAAAACTCAGGACCTTGGTCTCTTGGGGAGATCTTTATTTAGGCCCCACAGCGGGTACAATTTAGGCAAGGGAAGGCTACTGGTAACGTTCCTTGTTTTACCCGATAATTCACAACTGAAGCAGACTAAAGACAAGAAAGCTTTATTGGACTCAATTTCACAAGAATATACATGGTTAAACTGGGCAATTATCTTATGCAATCCGAATCTACCAATACCAAGAAGTATTTTTCAGAGAAAAGTCATTAGCATGACCAACAGTTTTTAGGAAAAAAAAAAAGACTTAAGGTCAGTTCAAGAGTAAGAATGTCACTATCAATGTATTTATAAATTGACTTATCAAAAGACAAAATTAAGGTAGAAGCTGTGTAACAGACAACTGGGCCAAGCTCACAAGAGGAATAAGGAGCAGACAAGTGAAGGAAATATTGCAGTGATACAGAAATAGGTATTTAAAAAAACAAATGATCATAACCAATGACCACAATTTTATCAAGAAGCATTACCAAATAAGCATTTCAAGGCAGCACAAACTATTTGGTCAATATAAAAATTAGCAAGAGAAATTATTTTATGTGCTCCTTCCCTGAAAATTTCATTATTCATTAAGCATAATGCAGAGTTATATAGAGATGATAATTTTAAAAGTCATTAGCTCTCTCACCTTGTAACAAGCCCCAGATATAATTTACACCCGTGTGCGGGTGTGGGCATACAGTCGCTGTTACCGGGACTATTACAGTGTTGTTTATGACATTATTATTTGAATGCTTTTCGTCCCCAAAATTGGAAACTTTTAGATAACCAAACACTAGAGGCATGACAGCGTAACAAAAATGCTGAGGTTTTCAATATGTGCTTTAGGTACGCTTCTAATTATTAGACATTTTATTGTAGCAATCTCACTGGGTTCTTGTTACAAGGACTTCACTAGAAGAAACACATTAAGATATCCACAAAGTGAAATGATGTTCAGTGACAGATTTTAAATCAAGGCAGTGTGATATCTAGTACAGTAGGTGTTAACTATAATACAAACTTCTTATATTTGTATAAAGTAACACAAATTTAAAAACATAATAACCTATGAAATCTGAAGTTATGCTTCTTAAGAAGCTCTTGGGTACCCCAAATTTTCCTTTTTAAAAAATATCATAGGGGGAGAAATGGCCCAAACAATGTATGCACCTATGAATAAATGAATAAAGAAAAAACATACCACAGTATTTAAAAAACTAATCCATAATCCTAAAGTAAAAAAAAATTTTAAATGACATGAAAGAATTTACTTTACAAAAGAGGAAATAAAGTACAAAAAGTTTCAATGAAAGAAACGTGAATGAGGTTTGTAACAGTAGGATGCAGCCTACCTCTCACACAGCAAGGTGCTGGCCTTGTTTCTTAGACAGCCCTGAATACTCTATATACCAATTGTGTCAGAAAGAAAAATGGGGGAAAATTGCCCTAATGTAGATGTTGGCCAATAACTGAAAATACACAAGAACTGTAAAACTTTAAATAATGCTACCTTGATTAGGACAGCATTAACAATAAGGTAAAACTTCAACAGTGTATTTAAAAAGATTAGATAGGAGGTTGAATGGGCTCCTTTATAGAGTGAAGGAGCTGTATGTGGTACTGTATAGTACCAAAGGAAATCAGAATGTTTTGTATTGAGTTCAACACAAAGAATGCAAATTATCTACATTTTTTACTTGCAACTTAAATGAGGAAATCCATTATTTTTAGTTAAAACGCAGACATTTGTAAAGCACCCCCTAATGAATGAATGTACCTTGTATTATTAGCTCTCCATTTTTAAGGGCCTTTGTCACCTGTGTGGTGAATCAGCCAGAACGTAGATGGAGTAAATTCAACTTACTGAAAAGGAAAACTTCTATCTGCAATTTTAGTAAAATTCTTAGTGGTTAGGATGAAATATACCTGGCTAAAATACCTCTGGTCTTTTCTGGGTGTCACTTGTGGACTGAGGTTCTCTGTTTTTTTCTGGTCCCACTGAAGTCATATGAGGGTATCTGTTACACAGCAGGAAAAGAAAGCATTTTACAAACAAGAACAAAAGCTGTCCTACCTTCTCACTCTGAAGACTATGTTCACAATATGGAGGTTTCCTGAGTTGTGGATCTGTTGGTCTATACCTAGGAGGCTCCACACGATCCACACTGTTCCAATAGTCACTGGACAGAAGGCACATGGCTTTTTTGGAGGGTGGGGGGTAAATTACAGCTTAAAATAGAAAGTAATACTTTTTATTTTGACCTAGTACACACAGTATATGGTGTACTTAACTGAAACACTGTTTCAGGAAATCTTATTTAACCTTCTTACATAGTCTGTTGTTTTAATTTCATTTTAAAAATATGTTGGTCTTGCACTTACACTCATTTCATGATTATCTAATGGATTAAGACATATAAAAAACACTGGCCCTATGGATTCTGGTTGACCCTGAGAAAAGGTAAAAAGGCAATGACCTAGCAGTAGTCCTGGAGTTCTCTGAATTGTGTTGGCTGTGTCATGAAAATGCCATTTCAGATAGCGACTTCCACCTTCAGTGCACACAGCACACGTGTTCACGTTCACCACTTCTCTCAGCCTTCTTAACAGAGGGGTCAATTTGAGGGGGCACTCGGCACAGCCTGAAGAATCAACTAATATTATAGGCAATTGACGACTGATATCAAGGTTCAGAAAATTCAGCACTGAGCAGAATCTATTTTATTTTTTCTTACCAGGCAGGAAGAGTACCTCTTTGTGGGATGTTTCACTACTACTCATCATCAGAAAAAATGAGAGATTATGAAAAGTTTAAGGAAAACTTATTTGAAGGCCATAGAACAGTTGCCTCCAAACAGAGGCATGAGGGGAAAGCAAGGACTGACTATGGGTGGTAATGATTATTTAGGGACCAAAAAATAACCAAGCTATAATATACTGATCTTGTGGAAAGTTTCAAGATACTGCTAACACAAGGGAAGAAGCAACAAATACATTCTAAGAGGGAAGACACTAGAGAAGTGCATGCACTATAATAATTTAGGGCAGATTATCAAATACAGTAAGATTTTAGATTCTGTTACAGTAAAAAAGACTACTAAACAAGTAACTTTTATAAAATGTTAAGCTAAAGATTCATTACCTAGTGGCATATTAATGTTAGATTTCTTTTAGTTTAGATGAAGATGATCTTTTAAAACAATGACAAATGACAGCTCTTGACATTATGGGTCCTTTTATTCTAGAGAGGAAGTGATGAGAGGTGAGAGGCAGATGACTGATTGATAGAGAGTAAGAGGAGATATTTCTACGTTTTTATTGGTAAAAAAACAGGAAGGATAGGCACAATAGTTCTGTATGTTCACTAGTAATAAGGCCCACTTCTGCTGGTTGCCAGAGATGAAACGAATTTCTATGCTGTGGGTCTATAATTTTCTGAATGTTGAAATCATGAAATGGAGTAGGTAATGAGGTATTTCACTAATGCCATTGAATGGAACTCTGGGAGAGTAACACTGCAGGTAAGCACAACCTGATGTAAACTTTCTGACTACCTCTATTCTTAGGTTTAATTTTGGTGTATGCAAAACAGAAAGTATATACCTTACGAGGAACAAAGGTAGTCGTGGGGACCCACACTGTCATGTGGCTTGAAATTGATCATCTTTTGATTTAACTGTTCAGCAAAGAAAGCATTCTGGGGTAAAATACTGATAATGTGTTTTTGTAATTGGAGAGAAATCAACAGTACTTTGTAGGATTTGGTGAGCAAGAAATACAATTACAGTCTGGCATGCTGTTTATTTCAGCTTTTACAACAAAACAAGGGTTTGTCAAGGCTGAGAATTTCACAATCATTGACCATACAGATTTTGCAAAAACAGTTTATAACAACTTGGTAGCATATACAACATATATAAAGTACTCTGGATAATCCAATAACTAATCAAGACATTGCACTATTCTGTTCATAGTTCACAATCATACATTCATCCCCTTTCACTTTAAATAGTCCATTAATATTAAGGTGCAGAGATCTTGGACAAAAACCAAGAGGAAGAAAAACCCAGAAGCTGTTTTTGATTAATGTACAGCCCATAATGGATGAGCCTATACATTTAAATAGGTGATTTTCATGTGAATAATTATAGAGAAAGCAAACCAGAAATTCTTATCTATGGCCAACAGAACAGGTTATTAGGATACATACATTTATTTATGAGAAGGGCTACCTGTTCTGATGCATAACTCACTGTATCTAAGATGCAGGAAATTTTACTTCTTGTTACCAGAGAATAGAAAGTATGTATTATTAAGGCTTTAGGAATTTTCCTTTGAACTCAACAGTTCTTTAAAAAACATGAACTGGGTAAGCCAAATAGATCTCACAAAGTTGGTTTGAGGAAGTATTTTTAAGGCTCTAAAGTTCTAGGAGGGACTTTCCCTTTTCGGGTATAATATTTTTTCAAGGCTTTTTAAGGTGAGGCTTGAAAGGGTATTATTCAATCTCAAAAAAGATTGTTTTTCATAATCATGCTATGCATTTGAAGTATAATTCAAACCTACACTTTATTTAAAAAATATGGAAAATAATACCAAAATATTTATTTGTAAAAAGAATTTCATGATTTTGAAAAAAGACACCATCAAAGTTCTCTTGATACCAGTGAGACAATGTCTAATTTGATAAATTGCCCAACATTCAAGGAGACTGAAGTGAGCATGGTAGAAGTTTACAATGTAAACTAGGAACTTTACTCCATTATAGAGCCTGACAATGGACAGTCTCTCCACTAGTGCAGAGAATGACCTGGAGTAAATGGTTCTTTTTAGAAAACAATTAGAAATATAATATAACCAGATGCGTGATTCAGGTTGGGAAATCGAATGGATCCCCAGAATTGAAGTATTTTAATCTCATAGCTGTTTTATCTGATTCCGATTTTTTTTAAACATCTAGAACACAGGATACTTGAAATCACTTCTGTGATATTCTTCTTGAACAGATGCTGGAAGGTATGTTATAAAGCTATAATAATGGATGGCTGTGTTGTCAGGCCATGTGCTCCCTCAGACGTTTGGAGAAGGCTCTCTTGCTTCTTCGAGCTTTGTAAGAATCCACTGTTGTGGGGAAATAAAACAACATTTACTTACTTTAATAAACTTGCAATGAAACAAAAACCTAATGAGTGGAAATCCAGAAGCCAGCTTTTCCAGTTTAGTTAGGTATATTCTGTCAGTCAATACTTAGAATTTATACTACAGGAGTAATAACCCAAACAGCCCAGATGGCTCAAATGATGCTACTGGATTTGATTTCACAGAAGAAATGTTTCTCTATGGTCTTCCCGAACAGAAATAATAACATACACTTTTATGTTATTAGCATAGCAACATTCTTGGGCATTTTTGATGCTCCCATGATATATTTTCTACTCTAAAAGAAACTGAAATTACAAAAATGAAATATAAATATAATACAAACCTTTCTATCAATAATGTCCATTATTATGGGGCCTGCATGATGGGTGAGAGTCTTAGAGTTGATATAGGGTTATCCTATGACTAAAAAGACTTAAGATGCCTCCCCACAAATGTGCAAAGTTGAACAGCTATTCTTGCACCAAATTACTTTCACAGGAGCCACAAATCAGGTGAGAGAACATACATGGTGGCTGCTTTTAGTATAAAAAAATGAAAAAGACATTCTGAAGAAGTCAGGAAGGTTAAGAGTTTCCCATGTCACTCCCAGTCCAGCATGGAGAAAATGCTTCCTGCTTAGGGAAGGAAGAGAAAATTAAGTCCAGGTTTTAAGACTAGAGAGCCAGTACCAGGCCTGTTATAGTGAAACCCAGTGCTGGCCAAAACCCATCAGGCCATTACACTTGGAAGGGTGTTAACCAGGTTGGTTGAATGCAATCACTACTCTTTCTCCAACCTCAGGCAGCAGAGAAGGGAGTAAGACTCCACTCGCTGGTAAGCAGAACACATGGTAGCACAGGGCTTTGGGCTTTGTCCGGGAGTCCAGTACTAGTCCCACTGTGGTGAGACCGTGAACCCAGTAGAAACCCAAGTACCCTAAGGATTGTAGTAAGACTGCTGCAAATTCTCCAATGAAAAGACATAGAGTGAATGGATAAATAAATATCCAAAACTCAACAATATGTACTTACAAGAAACTCATTTCACCCCTATGAATACACAAAGACTGAAAATGAAGAGACAGAAGAAGATATTCCATGCAAATGGAATCCAAAAGAAAGAAGTAGTAATATTTAAAGACTTTTAAATCAAAAGCAGTAGAAAGAGACAAAGGAGGTCACTGTCTAACGATAAGGAAGCCAATTCAGCAAGAGAAAATAATAATTCTAATTATATACAACCCCAGTATTAGAGAGCCCAAATACATAAAGCAAATGTTTATAGACCCAAAGGAAGAGAAAGACTGTAATACAGTATTAGTTGGGGACATTAACACCCCACTTTCAGCAATGGATAGATCATCCAGACAGAAAATCCAGGAAGAAACAGTTCAATTTCACTCCAGACTAAATGGGCTTAACAGACATCTACAGAACATTTCATCCAAAAGCTGCCAAATACACATTTTTCTCATCAGCACATGGAACATTCTCTAGTATAGATTGTATGACAGACCACAAGTCTAAACGAATTAAAAAAAAACAACTGAAATCGTATTGATCTTTTCTGACAATAGAATAAAACTAGTTATCACTTACAAGAAAAATTTTGGAAATTATACAAATACTTGGCAACAACTTACTTTGTAACAACCAATGGATCAGGAAAGAAATCATGAAGGAAATTAAAAATTTCTTGAAATAAGCTGGATGTGGTGGTGAATGCCTGTAATCCCAGCCATGTGGAAGGGAGGCAAGCAAAGGACTGCAGTCTGAGACTGGTCCTTGGCAAAATTCATGAGACTCTATCTGAAAAATAACTAAAAGGCAAAAAATGGCTGTGGGTGTGGCTCAAGTGGTACAGTGCCTGTCTAGTAACTGTGAGGTCCCTGTATTCAAAAACCCTAGTACGAAAAAATAAAATTGTTGAAATGAATGAAAAGAGGTACAACATTCCCCAAACCTAGCAAAGGCAGGAAAGGGGAAAATCTGTAGCAATCAATGTCTCCTTCAAAGAAAGGCAGAGCTCTGGGATAGAGTGCTTGCTTATGCATAATGATATTCTGGGTTTGATCCTCAGCATCATGGGAAAAAGAAGTAAACCTATCATTTCATCTCAAGGAGACAAAAACAAGAATAAACCGAACCCAAAATTAATACAAGGAAAGAAATAATAAAGATCAGAGGTAAATAAATGAAATAGAGACTACAAATACAAAAAAAAAATCAACTGAAGAAATGAGCCAAACCCTTTAGCTAGACTAAGGAGAAAAAGACAAAATCATAGATGAAAAGGGAGATAGCTAATACCACAGAAATATAAAAGACAGTTTAAGATTATTATGACAATATGCTAACAAATTTGATAACCTAGAATGGAAAAATTCTAAACATACAGACCTTACCAAGACTGAATTCTAAAGAAACAGAAAACTTGAACCAATAATAAGTAAGAAGACTGAAGCGCTAGTAAAGTTTCCCATCAAAGAAAAGCCCACAGGTGAAGCTATCACAGCAGCTACCATGGTAACTTCACCTATAATCCCAGCTACTGGAGAGGCAGAGATTGAGAGAATCACAATTTGAGGCAGGCCAAGGCAAAAGTTTGTGAGACCCCATCTCAACCAGTACAAAGCTGGGCATACTGCAACATGCCTATCATCCCAGCTATGCAGGGAGCATAAAGAGAAACATGCAATTCATACTGGCCTGGAAGTAAAGGTGAGACCCTATTTGAAAAATAACTAAAGCAAAAAGGGCTGGGGGTGTGGTTCATGTAGTAGTCTGCCTGTGTAGCAAATACAAGCCTCTGAATTCAAACCCTAGTACTATTTCCGCCCCTCCCCCAGCCAAAAAAAAAAAAAAAAAAAAAAGCAAAGCCCCAGGACTGGGGTGTGATTCAAGTGGTAGAACATTTGCTTAGCAAATGTGAGGACCCAAATTCAATCTCCAGTATTGGGAATTGGGGGGACCCATCAAATTTGTTTGGCTAAACATTCAAAGAACAAATAATATAAGTTCTCTTTAAATTATTCCAAAAAAAACAGAAGAGGAAGGAATTCTTCCAAACACATTCTATGAGGCCACCATCTCCTACACACAAAAATGAGGTCAGGACACAGCAAAAAATGAAAGTAGCAGGTCAAAATTCTTGATGAATGTATGTAAAAGATCCTCCATAAAACACTAGCAAATTGAATCCAACAGCACATTAAAACGATAATTCATAGAGATAAGGGCAAAACAGTATCTGCTTAGAAGCGAGGAGGGGGGGGCGAGAGGGAGGGGGTGGGGGGAATGGGGGAGTAATGACCCAATCATTGTATGCACATATGAATAAAGGATATAAAATAAATAAATAAAAATAAAAAGGTAATTCAGCATGATCAAGTGTTTTTTATCCTAGGTATGCAAGGATGGTTCAATAGACGCACATCAATGAATGTGTTTGCCCCATTAAGAGAATGAAGGACAAAAACCAGATGGTCATCTCAACAGATGCAGAAATTCCCAACAGAATTTATCTGCTTGGAGTGAAAGGCTTCTATCTGGTTTAAGTAAAAGAATCATATTTACCCTAGCATCCTCTGGAGTCTTGAAGTTAATTATTTTTCCAAATTCTTTGGCATGGAATACAGATTTCACCCGTTCCTATAAATAGAATACATAAACTCATAAAAAAAGAGTCAGTGGTAGAAATACAATAAAGAAATGTTATTCAACTTTAACAGTCTATGCTTAAAGCACCTATCTTACATAAATCTTGCACTTTAAAAAAGCCAAGAAAAGATAACCATGAAGAATCAAAACAAATGGGAAGCTGTAACATTTTCCTTATCACCCAATCTAGGTTAAAAAAACTACGGTGAGATTTCAATTACTAAGGCCATAAATGGTCACACAGAAAATGGGAAGGAGGTAAGTCTGGGAGTAGTGTCACTGTTTTTCCTCTCCAGATGACTTCTCATTCAGTTCTTGATGTATGTTGCAGAATTCTGAGTCCAGCTCAAAAATGATACACATGTATATATGCATATATACATTGCTATATGGACATGTGCATGTGTGTTCGCATGAATATATATGTACTCATGACATTTTAAACCAGCCATGCAATAATAAAGTAGTGTAGAATCAAAGAAATTGGGGCAGTGCCTGGATCCTACGATTTTCCTCTACTGTTTACACTCCTTTGGCTTTCTATTAGTATTTGTGGGAAAGAACTGTGTAAAAGCAGACAGTAAGCATTTAAGGGACAAACAGAAAGAAAAGTGGGACTCCTGAGGACAAGGGTGGTGTCTGCCTCTATTAATATGGGTAGGACCACTAGGACCACAGGAGAAACAAGGTGGAACTTTACTATCAATTCCTATAAGTACCCCAAATTATCTATGCAAATTGATTTCTGCCATTTAAAAAAAAGGACGACTGCTGATTCAAGGTCTCAATAAAAGGTAAAAGTGAAGAAATCAAGAGATAAGAGGAACTGTCATCACTAGAGAGAGAAAAAAGTAGGAAAAAAAGCCAGGAAAACCAGATGGGCTACAGCAGAGGTTAATAGCCACTAGCTGTTATTTTGTACATGGGGGTAGGGTTCTGCTACTGAGTACAAAATAAGGATCCAGGAATGCTGTCTTTAATGTAATAGCAAACAAATAGCACTTTTTTCTTTGGTTTAGCTTTTTTCTTCTTTAAGCCTGAGTAAGCTGTGAATAAATGAACAACAACAAAAAAAGCCTGAGTAAGCAAAGCAACATTTATAAAAGAGGTATAAGCATTTCCAAAGTAAAGATGACTATTTCAATGTGTTTTCAGTTTCAAAAATTTTTTTTAATCCATTCAACATACCTTTGCTTCAATGCGCAATCTTCTCCCATGAACAATGAATGGCTCTTTGGTAAACTCATCAAAAGTGTACTGCCACTCACACGTGAGTTGTCCAAATGTTCCCTTTGTGACGAACAATACACCACTGGGGGAGAGGGGAGAAAATAATCCACTTTAAAAACTGAGGAACTTACATGTTCTCTGCAAGTGCAATGGAACATTCACCTAGATAAACTATATTCTGGGTCATAAAGAAGCTTAATGAATTTATGGCTGGGGTATGGCTCAGTGGTACAGCTCTTCCCTAGCATGTGTGAAGTCCTGGGTTCCATTCTCAGCACCACAAAAAACCAAAAACAAAACAAAAAAAAGTAGTGAATTTAAAAGAACTGAAACTTTAAAGGTACATTCTCAGATCATAATGGAACTAAACTAGAAACCAGTAACAGAATACTTCCAAATGCTTAGACATTTCTAAAATAATCTATGGATCAAAGAATCTCAAAAGAAATTAGAAAATATTTTGAATAGAATGAAAATCAATCTACATGTGGGATGTAGATTAATGTTTAGTGGGAAATTATAGTGTAACATATACTAGAAAAACTAAAACACCTGAAAAGTAACATATAAAGTACTTCATAAGAAACAAAACAATCACAGCAGACTTCTCAACAGAAACATTAAAAGCAAGAAGAGCGTGGGGTGAGATCTTCCGGGCACTGAATGAAAATAACTTCAACCCCAGGATACTCTACCCAGCAAAGCTATCATTCAAAATAGATGGAGCAATAAAAGTCTTCCATGATAAGCAGAAACTAAAACAATATGTGACCACAAAGCCACCATTACAAAAGATTCTGCAAGGGATCCTGCACACAGAAAGTGACACCCAACTTAACCATGAAAAGGCAGGCAGCACCAAACCACAGGATAAGAAAAAGCAAGACAGTAGAGAGTAACATCAAGTTAGGTACACACAATCAAACCTTCAAACAACTAAGATAACTAAATGGCAGGAATCACCACATACCTATCAGTACTAACACTTAATGTTAATGGACTTAATTCACCCATCAAAAGACACCGTTTGACAAAATGGATTAAAAAAGAAGATCCAACAATTTGTTGCTTACAGGAGACTCATCTCACCGACAGAAATAAGCATATGCTTAGGATGAAAGGCTGGAAGAAGATTTACCAAGCCAATGGCCCCCGAAAACAAGCAGGAGTAGCAATACTTATCTCTGACAAAGTAGACTTCAAACCTACATTGATCAAACGAGATAAAGAAGGACATTCCATACTAATAAAAGGGGAAATAGACCAAAAGGAAATAATAATCATCAATCTGTACGCACCCAATGTCAACGCACCCAATTTCATCAAACATACCCTGAAAGACCTAAAAGCATATACAAACGCCAACACAGTGGTTGTGGGAGACTTTAACACTCCATTATCATCAATAGATAGGTCATCCAAACAAAAACTCAATAAAGAAATCCAAGATCTAAAATATGCAATAGATCAAGTGGACCTAGTAGATGTCTACAGAACATTTCATCCAACCTCTACACAATATACATTCTTCTCAGCAGCCCATGGAACCTTCTCCAAAATAGATCATATCCTAGGGCACAAAGCAAGCCTCAGCAAATATAAGAAAATAGAAATAATACCATGCATACTATCTGACCACAATGCAGTAAAAGTAGAACTCAACAACAAAAGTAAAGACAAAAAACATGCAAACAGCTGGAAACTAAATAACTCATTACTTAATGAAGAATGGATCATCGATGCAATAAAAGAGGAAATTAAAAAGTTCCTGGAAGTCAATGAAAATGAAAACACAACCTACCGAACCTATGGGACACAGCTAAGGCAGTCTGAGAGGAAAGTTTATAGCCATGAGTGCATATATTAAAAAGATTGAAAGATCCCAAATCAATGACCTAATGATACATCTCAAACTCCTAGAAAAACAAGAACAAGCAAATCCCAAAACAAATAGAAGGAGAGAAATAATAAAAATAAGAGCTGAAATCAACGAAATAGAAACCAAAAAAACCATACAAAGAATTAATGAAACAAAAAGTTGGTTCTTTGAAAAAATAAACAAGATCGATAGACCCCTGGCAAACCTGACTAAAATGAGGAGAGAAAAAACCCAAATTAGTAGAATCAGGAATGCAAAAGGGGAGATAACAACAAACACCATGGAAGTCCAGGAAATCATCAGAGACTACTTTGAGAACCTATATTCAAATAAATTTGAAAATCTAAAAGAAATGGACAGATTTCTAGATACATATGATCATCCAAAACTGAACCAAGAGGAAATTAATCACCTGAATAGACCTATAACACAAAATGAAATTGAAGCAGCAATCAAGAGTCTCCCCAAAAAGAAAAGTCCAGGACCTGATGGATTCTCTGCTGAATTCTATCAGACCTTTAAAGAAGAACTGATACCAACCCTCCTTAAACTGTTCCATGAAATAGAAAGGGAAGGAAAACTGCCAAACACATTTTATGAAGCCAGTATTACACTTATCCCAAAACCAGGCAAAGACACCTCCAAAAAGGAGAACTATAGGCCAATCTCCTTAATGAACATTGATGCAAAAATCCTCAACAAAATAATGGCAAAGAATTCAGCAACACATCAAAAAGATTATTCACCACGACCAGTAGGCTTCATCCCAGGGATGCAGGGGTGGTTCAACATACGAAAATCAATAAACGTAATAAACCACATTAACAGAAGCAAAGACAAAAACCACTTGATCATCTCAATAGATGCAGAAAAAGCCTTTGATAAGATCCAACATCATTTCATGATAAAAGCTCTAAGAAAACTAGGAATAGAAGGAAAGTTCCTCAACATTATAAAAGCTATATATGACAAACCTACAGCCAGCATTATACTTAACGGAGAAAAATTAAAACCATTCCCTCTAAAATCAGGAACCAGACAAGGATGCCCACTATCTCCACTCCTATTCAACATAGTACTGGAATTCCTAGCCAGAGCAATTAGGCAAGAAGAAGGAATAAAAGGAATACAAATAGGTAAAGAAACTGTCAAAATATCCCTATTTGCAGACGACATGATCCTATACCTTAAAGACCCAAAAAACTCTACTCAGAAGCTTCTAGACATCATCAATAGCTATAGCAAGGTAGCAGGATATAAAATCAACATAGAAAAATCATTAGCATTTCTATACACTAACAATGAGCAAACGGAAAAAGAATGTATGAAAACAATTCCATTTACAATAGCCTCAAAAAAAATCAAATACCTAGGTGTAAACCTAACAAAAGATGTGAAAGACCTCTACAAGGAAAACTATACACTTCTGAAGAAAGAGATTGAGGAAGACTATAGAAAGTGGAGAGATCTCCCATGCTCATGGATTGGTAGAATCAACATAGTAAAAATGTCGATACTCCCAAAAGTAATCTACATGTTTAATGCAATTCCCATCAAAATTCCAATGACATTCATTAAAGAGATTGAAAAATCTACTGTTAAATTTATATGGAAACACAAGAGGCCACGAATAGCCAAGGCAATACTCAGTCAAAAGAACAATGCAGGAGGTATCACAATACCTGACTTCAAACTATATTACAAAGCAATAACAATAAAAACAGCATGGTACTGGCACAAAAACAGACATGAAGACCAGTGGAACAGAATAGAGGATCCAGATATGAAGCCACACAACTATAAGCAACTTATCTTTGACAAAGGAGCTAAAAATATACGATGGAGAAATAGCAGCCTCTTCAACAAAAACTGCTGGGAAAACTGGTTAGCAGTCTGCAAAAAACTGAAACTAGATCCATGTATATCACCCTATACCAAGATTAACTCAAAATGGATCAAGGATCTTAATATCAGACCCCAAACTCTTAAGTTGATACAAGAAAGAGTAGGAAATACTCTGGAGTTAGTAGGTATAGGTAAGAACTTTCTCAATGAAACCCCAGCAGCACAGCAACTAAGAGATAGCATAGATAAATGGGACCTCATAAAACTAAAAAGCTTCTGTTCATCAAAAGAAATGGTCTCTAAACTGAAGAGAACACCCACAGAGTGGGAGAAAATATTTGCCAATATACATCAGACAAAGGACTGATAACCAGAATATACAGGGAACTTAAAAAACTAAATTCTCCCAAAACTAATGAACCAATAAAGAAATGGGCAAGTGAACTAAACAGAACTTTCTCAAAAGAAGAAATTCAAATGGCCAGAAAACACATGAAAAAATGCTCACCATCTCTAGCAATAAAGGAAATGCAAATTAAAACCACACTAAGATTCCACCTCACCCCTGTTAGAATAGCCATCATCAGCAACACCACCAACAACAGGTGTTGGCGAGGATGCGGGGAAAAAGGAACCCTCTTACACTGTTGGTGGGAATGTAGACTAGTACAACCACTCTGGAAAAAAATTTGGAGGCTACTTAAAAAGCTGGACATCGATCTACCATTTGATCCAGCAATACCACTCTTGGGGATATACCCAAAAGACTGTTACTCCAGAGGCACCTGCACACCATGTTTATTGCGGCACTATTCACAATAGCCAAGTTATGGAAACAGCCAAGATGCCCCACACTGACGAATGGATTAAGAAAATGTGGTATCTATACACAATGGAATTTTATGCAGCCATGAAGAAGAACGAAATGTTATCATTCGCTGGTAAATGGATGGAATTGGAGAACATCATTCTGAGTGAGGTTAGCCTGGCCAAAAGACCAAAAATCGTATGTTCTCCCTCATATGTGGACATTAGATCAAGGGCAAACACAACAAGGGATTGGACTATGAGCACATGATAAAAGCGAGAGCACACAAGGGAGGGGTGAGGATAGGTAAGACACCTAAAAAACTAGCTAGCATTTGTTGCCCTTAATGCAGAGAAACTAAAGCAGATACCTTAAAGCAACTGAGGCCAATAGGAAAAGGGGACCAGGAACTAGAGAAAAGGTTAGATCAAAAAGAATTAACCTAGAAGGTAACACCACGCACAGGAAATCAATGTGAGTCAATGCCCTGTATAGCTATCCTTATCTCAACCAGCAAAACCCCTTGTTCCTTCCTATTATTGCTTATACTCTCTCTACAACAAAATTAGAGATAAGGGCAAAATAGTTTCTGCTGGGTATTGAGGGGGGGAGGGGGGGGAGTGGGTGGTAAGGGAGGGGGTGGGGGCAGGGGGAGAAATGAACCAAGCCTTGTATGCACATATGAATAATAAAAGAAAAATGAAAAAAAAAAAAAAATAAAAAAGAAAAAAAAAATGAAAGAAAAAAAGAAACAAAACATTTACAGAGCCAATTATCAGCCAATATTTTGGGGAACTGTTATGTAACCAGCACTTCAGAATAAATGTTTTATTACTAAGGTTCCAAGTAATATATTTCCCAGCCTATATCAGAATGAGGATTTCTAATCATGTTGAACAGAACAACATATAACAAACTTTGGGTTTTTCACAGGCAAAATACAGTGCTATCATTGTCAATTTTAGAAGGAAATTAAAAAAAAATCACCATCTTAGGCTTTTTTATTTTAATCAATTCTTATTCTCCCATTTTGGAGGAAGAAATCAAGAAATAAAAATATTTTTGTTTAATTCTTCCTAAAAGGTCTCTTTCTTCCCCAATTTCTCTTCTGAGTTGAAACACTCACTATAGGTGCAACCACAGTTTTCTAAAGTAACATATACTTACTTTAAGGAACCGAGTTAAAGAAATAGTTGCTTCTGGCTGAGAAGCAAGCCAACCAAGCTCTCACCTCACCCCCTTTACCAATCCTGGGTTGCAGGGGCTCGTGGAACAAACCTAGTGGTGCTCCAGTACAAGTCTAACCATGTCCAGAGGCTGTGCCACTGTGTATTTTGCAATTATCCTTTCACTGTCTATAGGTCTATCTGAAGATGTCACTACAGTTGGCATACTCACGTTATGTTTCCATTTGTATACACACTTACGAGTCTATATGCATTCTTATGAGGACTACTAACTTCTAGGGTAACGTGAAGTTGGGTATTTTTTCAGTTTGCTTTGAGAGGATAGCTTTCTGGAATTTCTGTACCTACTGAATTTCTTGAAACTACCAGGAAAATGTCTAATACGTAATTGTGCTTGTGTGTGACTATGTGTTTATCTGCAAGCATACACAAAGCTGAGCATGAATTTTTATAGTACTAGGAACTAGCCTTCTAATGCAAGAGGATCAAAGTCAGCAGCAATCAGTGAGACTGATATGGAAAAGGTGGGTACCAACTTCTTCACCTCAGAAGTGGATGTCAGTTAACCCCTTATCACATTACTTTAGAGAAAGAAAGAATTTACCGTCTAGTTATCATGAACATGTCTGTTTTATTGATCATGACATGGGTAAAATATCTGTATTTTGCAAATCTTCCATTTTCCATGACCTAAAAGAGAGTGAGAAAGTTGATGACATTCCATGATGAGCTGATTCTCAGCGAAGGGAAACACTGTCACACTTACACAGTAAATATGCACACGTCAGAAAATTGAATTAGACACGCACATTTATTTCCACTGCTTATTTCCTTTTAAAAGTATCTACTGCGCCGCTTTACTTAAGATTACTCTAACCACAGCAATACCAATCTTTAAAAATGCTAGATTTTTAGAAGATACTGCTACCTTACAAGGCTTAAATTCAATCTAATAAGGAATTAAATTATTATAGCTATTTTATCTTCAAAGTACATCACATCCGTACAAAACCATATCTAAACACACATATTTAAATACATGCATCACATAAATGACCATTACTCCCTGCTCTGCCTCTTTGGAATTTCCCTATCTTTCTTCTAGACCTAGTATCTTTGCCAATCTTAGAACTCATTAAAAAATAAGGAACAGAGAGTTTCTGGGAGAACAGGAGACTCTAAAGCCTACAAAACCTATGTAACGAGGCATGTTAAGAATTCAAACAAGGTCAAGGAAATCTTCAAGGAATTCTGAAAAAGCACATGAAGAGTTTAGAAAATCATGTTCCATGATGGCATAACAAAAAAGACAAACTGTTTAGCTTAGAAGGTATAATGTGACTCCATAATTTGGTACAGAAGGCTGATAGAACAGTCTTCATTTTTATTGGAGGAAAAAAAGTAAATAAAAAAATAAAGCAGCAGGATGAGGCATGCAGACTACTTGCATGGAAGAAGTTTCTAACTTTAAAGATTTTAAAATAATGAGCAAAAAGTATCTTTAGTATTTACTGTAATAAGTAGGGTAACTAATCACAAATATTTTAAAAGTAAATAGGGGACATATCCACAGATTCAGAAGAAATTAACAAGGATTAGTAATTTATAAATATGTAAATAAATTTGAAAAACTAGGTGAAATGGGTGTTTTAAGAAGACATAAAGAGAAGGCATCAATTATTAGAGGGAAAGGGAAGAAATTATTTGCAGATGACAATATGTCTGGAAAACTAAGTATACAAAACCCAGCAATCAATTTGGAAATGAAGAATAAAATCCTTTTTATAAGGGTAATAAAAAGATGCAATACTTGTATGTTTTATAAATAATGTGCAGAAGTTATATGATAAAAGTTGTAACATTTTATTGTTTTGAGACAGGGTCTTGTTCTGAATATAATTCAGATTGGCTTTGAACTTGTGATCTTCCTGTCAGCCTCCTGAGTGCTGGGATTACAGTTGTGCACCACCACTCTTGTCAAAAGGTATAATATACTTCATGAGGGGAGTAAAAATGAATGAATGAAAAAACCATGCCTTATTCTTGTATATAACAATTCATTGTAAGAAAGATATCATTCACCACCTTCCCTCTAGTTTTAAACTACCTCTCTGCTCTCTCATGCTTTCTCTCAAATTGATTGCAAGATGGTGATTTTTGGAGGGCAGAGGGTGAAGGAGAGGAAGAGGAGTGATTGGACAAAATTATATTAAAATTTATCTAGAAAATTACAACATCCAGTGAATTATGAAAGGAAAATGAGAAGTATCCTAGTGGACATTAATATAATTTATAAAGTAACACTTTAATCTTGGGACTGGGAAAGGCTAAAATAAAAATTGCTAAGTACATAGAAAGGAATGGCAAAATAAGCAAATAAACAGAAATAAGGTAAAATAACAAAACCCAAAGCATAAACTGGGAAAATATTTGTTAATACAGAGATAGGAGGTATTTCATAATCTTTAGAATTCAAAAAGTTTTAATAGACCAAGAGAAAATGAAGAAGGAGATGAATAGGTAGTTTAGCAAAAACCAAAATGTGACTAAGAAATATGAAAAAATATTCAACTTAAACTCAAAAATCAAGAAAATTCAAACAACTAAACATACACCAAGTCAGCAATTCCAGTGGTAGGATTTATTGTAAATGAAAGTATGCCAAGACATACATACAAGATTCTTCATAGCAGTACTGTGTTAAAAGCGAAAAAATCTAAATGTTCATAATTGGGGACTAGTTAAATAAAGTATGGTGCAGCCATACAAGAGGACATAATGAAGTAATAATAAAAAGATATGCATGAACATTTACAGAAAAAGGTACAAGATATATTAAATGAAATTATATTATTGAATAGAATGTATGGAGGAAAGAAAAGCAGAAACACATACTTGTACACTTAACTTGTATATGCATAAGAAATTTCCACACACCAATATGTTAACAACATAATAGGGTTTGTGAAGGGCAATGGTGGGGACAGAAGTGAAGGTTTTGTCTTTAACTTTACATCCTTTGCTTCAATTTATTTTGTATTTGAAAATAAATTAGTTTTATATGGCAAAGTTTTGAAATTGAGAATACAAATGTTCATTTCTTTAAGAACACCACTACTAACAGAAGTCAAGATAATGTACAAATCATAGTTCACCTTCTATTTCAATGTTATTTTAAGTTTGGGCACTGTAGCTGATCTCACCTTTCATCACTTTTCATTTCCAGACTCAAATTAAATCAAATCTATAAGCAATTTAATCAATTTCAAAAGTCACAATAACAATTGGTATAAATAAAAGCTAAAAAAATCCAAAAGAAATATAAAAGTAATTCATGAAACACTTTCTGGAACTCATCCAAAACTGTAAGCATAACACCTGAAAAATGAATGGACATTATGGGAATAGCAGTGTGCTGTGAAACATAATAAACTGGAGCCTTTGTTATTGGAGTAGATATATCTGAATAAACATCAAAGATAAATCTTTCACCGAAAATTTATGCTGATGTCACCATTTCAAACACGTGAGAAAAAGAGTAAGAACAGCATTATAAGCAGAATCTGAAACTTTGAAACTAAACCTACTGAAGCATGGGAAGGGAGCCTGATAAGCTTATTGGTTACTTTCACTTTTCATCACAGTGTAGAGTCTACAATTTCCTAATTATTTGGCTTTGTAAATACATTCTATATGAAGATTTGTATCTTTCAAAACACCAATATATATTTTAGGAAGAAAACTTCAGAATGTTAGACCTGAAAGGAATGTTGTTCTTCCATACCAATTTCTTTTTTTACACATGAAGAAACTTGAGAATCAGGTGTTTAATCAGCCCATTTAATCTTCACAACAATGGTGTGTAATTAGGTAGGATTACAGCCAAGTGACTTGTTTGGGGTTAGCTGCAAATCTCAGCTCAGGACTTTGGTTTCTTCACTTTGAATTCCAGTGTTTTTCATTACATCATGATGTTTCTTCCTATGCTGACAGTCACACTTCCCCCATGATACCTCAAAAATGTCTCTGGTAATCTAGGAGAATGGTCGTTTGATGAGGGAGACTGTTAAGTCAGCTCAGTTTGGGTGAATTTTTGTAGATCAACAGTGTCCACATAATTTAATGTCAATATCCCACATTCCTCCCTCCCAAACAGGAGCTAGCTGTGAATGTTTCTACTAAAATAATGTGTGATATCATTTAAAATAAAAGAATTAGCCAAACTAGGAATCACTATGTAGGGCATTTACATAAGGATCAAAATTTGGCTGAAATAATCAACAGCTAGTACTTTCAGACATGTTACTCTTATTTATATACTTTTTTGCTAAGAAAAACCCATTTTGCCTTATTCATTAAAAGTTTATGTTTTGGAACTTTCTAAAAGAAATAAGCAGAGAAACACAACAGAAACTGCATTCACTACTTGTAACTGTCAGAATCTCTTAAGCAACAATTAAAATGAATGGTTACTGGCTAACGGGTGCATTTAGAAATGATGAGTAAGTATATGGCACTTTATTAAACGTAAACAAATAAATCCAAACAGAATATTTAGAAACACAGAAGTAGAGACTCAGCAACAATGGTGTCAGGGTTATTTTCTACTAACATCATATTTCCTGTCAGATAAATCCCAGTATTTTAGAAAAAGAATGTAAGCTAAAAACTTTTAGTAACACACACAGTCACTTCTCTTCTTTTGTGTGTGTGTATTTTTCCAGTACTGGGATTTGAACTCAGGGCCTCACGCCTGTCAGGCAGATGCTCTACTATTTGAGCCACACCCCCAGTCCGCAGAGAGTATTTCTAACACTAAAATTATCCAAATGTTATCAACTAGCAAAGTTCTGAAAAAGCAACACAAAATATGAAAAAATAGATGCCAGGAACAAACCACTAACATGAAAAAACTTAAATTCCAAACAATCTAAAATGTTAATCACTTAGAGGAAATATATTTAAGAAAATTGAGTAATGGGTCAGAACACATAGGTTAGTAAAAAAATATATAAAATATGACCAATATATTTCCTTTAAAAGACAAGTGTTTCATATAGGTATGATTTTTTTTTTTTTTAAAAGACAGATACATGGGGGATTAAAAGAAAAATGAGTCAGGAGTGATGACATGCCTGTAATCCTAGCATTCCAGAAGCAGAAGGATTGAGAGTCAGAAGGGGGAAGGGAAAAGTGAGAAGGGGGAAGGGAAAAGTGAGAAGGGGGAAGGGAAAAGTGAGAAAGGGGAAGGGAAAAGTGAGAAAGGGGAAGGGGAAGGGAAGGGAAAAGTGAGAAAGGGGAAGGGGGAAGGGAGAAGGGGAAAGGGAAAGAAGGGAGAAAGAGAGAGGGGAAGAGAGAGAGGAAGAGAGAGGGAAAGAAAAAGAAAGAAAGAAAGAAGGAAAGGAAAGGAAGAAAGAAAGAAAAAGAAGGAAGCAAATAGACCTGTTTAAAAGAATCTTTTCTTTAGAGAAAAGTGCTGTAAGTGTAACTTCCCTGGAATTATTTAAGTATTTAGGGACAAAAAATGTTTTACTAAATCACTTCAAATCTGAGACTTGAGTATCATGGTTCAGAAAAGAAGGTATTCACCCAAGCTTCATGAACAAAGATAGTAAAAAACAATTATCTTACAGTGCAATGACATCACATACACTAGAATAAACGTGAACAAGTATTGAAGTGAGTTGGGC